TTTAGAAAACTTGTATCTTTCACTGTGAAATTGACAGCTTCCCTGGATTAAAAGCTTTTCTAATGAAATTGGTGGTGATATTAATAATTATGATTATTTTGATATTGTATAAATGAACTTTATTCAACATTTGGAAGCTCTGCATAACTCAGTGAACCAATAGTCTCCAAATGACCAGTGCATCATGTTACGAAATCATACACATATAAAAGATCCATTCAAAGTGCAAGGTAGACCAATGGATTTTAATGTTACAGAATACAAAAAGTTCATGTAGTTTCACATTTCACACTGCAACTAACCCTTAAGAAACCTACCACTTGTTGAGTTTGGGTGTAGTATCAGAGAAGAGTATCCACAGTTATCAAAAGGGTATTAAAATATGCCTGCCTTTTCCAGCTACATATCTGTTTCGATCTTCAGTCAAAACAACACATCATAAGAGATTCAATGTGGAACTAACTGTAAGATTATAGATGCCTTCTATTAAGCCAGACATTAAAAAAATTTGCAAAAATGTAAAACAATCCCATTTTTCTCATGATTTTTTCATAAAACATGTTATATTAATGAGAGTTATTATTACTCCAAAATGAATTAATAGCTAAATATAAGAATTTGTGTTTTAATTTCTAATATGGTAAATATCAAACAATTCTTTGAGATTTAAAATTTTTAAAGGTATAAAGGGATCCTGAGACCTATGCTGTTCTGTTTGCCTAGAATTCTTCTCTTTTCTCTAGAGAAATCCTACACATAGTTGTGCAGTTAGTATTTACATCTTTATTTTAAAAAATGTTTACCGAGCATCTTATAAAGACCTGACTCTTTGCTTGTTGCTGGGAACATGGCCCCAAACCCTTATGGAGATCACAGTCTGGTGGGGAAGACACATTAAACAGACAATTGCAACAAAGTATGATAAATGTTACCAGTGATAGCATATAAATATTGTGGGAGTACAGGCTATTGTCAGAGTCTTGCAAAGAGCCACTTGCTCACTCACCTGGAACATATGACCAGTTAGTTTGATTGGATCTTACCTTCTCTATCTGATTCTTTGTAGTCTGACAGGGAAAGTGGCTGAAGTTAGCAGAAGATGGGAACTATTGCTTGCTGCTCTGGGAGGAAAGAAGGATGCTACAAATGTATTGAATATCAGCTTTATGCTAGGCCCTATGCTAGGTGTTTTAACAAATGGGGTTTTATTTAATTCTCACAAAAACCCTATGTAACAGATTATCATCGTCATTTTGCAGATGAGAAATTGGAGGCTCAGAGAAGTTAAACAGCTTGTCCGATATCATATGGTTTGTGAAGATGTGATTTTTGACATGTGTTCTGACTCTAAGTCCAGGGCTCTTTAATTGCAGTAAGAATGTGTTGCTAAATGGGTGGACCTTCTAAGGTATTTCCAGATGGCTGTGGGGAACTTTGCCAAACTGGAATGTTTAGGAGAAGGTAGAAAAGGTCTCAGGAAGGACAGGGATACAGCTTAGGAAATGCTTGGTTGAAGGAGTTATTTGTGAATTTTGGCTGACATGGTTTCTCTGAATAGGATTCTATGGCCGTATGGGAATCAAGCTTTTGTATTCCCTCATCTCTAAATCCCTTTAATCCTCTCTATGCCGGATGATGCCAACTGCAAAGGTCACCTGTCAGTCTGATCAGGTTACAAACCAGAGCCTGGTGTTTGAAATCCAAACTTCTTGGATCTACTGTAAGCTTTTGGGAAAGGTGCTGGCTGACCTCAGGCCAACCAGCCTAGAGGCCCCCAGTCTCTAGAGCTTGGTAAACTATTCCCATTATTTTAAAAAGCCTACTGGAAGTTATACTTTACTTAGGATAAGCCTGTGTGCAGATACAGGCTAATGAGAAGATTGAGTTTCTTTCTCTTAGGTCAGAAAGCTATCAATCCAATGTGATTTAGGTGTGCCACCTATTATTTTCTAGAACAGGGTTCCATTGGCCAAATCCAGCTCACGACTTGTTTTTGTAAATGAAGTTTTATTAGAATATAATCAAGCATGTTTTGTCCACAAATGCTTTTGTGCTATAATGACAGAGTTAAGTAATGCAGCAGAGACTATATGGCCTGCAAATCCTAAATTGTTTAATCTGGCCCTCTACAGAAAAAGTTTGCTGACCCCTAATCTTGCTTCTTTCTATCATGGCACTTAGCACATAGTGTTTTAATTGCCTCTCTCACTTTTGTAACTGAGCTCCTGAGAGCAAAGATGAGATATGATTCATATTTTTATGCCCTGTGCTGATTATAGGGCCTGACATATCAAGAGCACTCAATAAATGTTGTTTAAATGTGTGTATCGTATGTTGATCAAAAAGCTCTTATGTATGCTTTTTAAATTTTTTTTTTTGGGAGGGACAGAATCTCACTCTGTTACCCAGGCTAGAGTACAGTAGCGTCATCATAACTCACTGCAACCTCAAACTCCTGGGCTCAAACAATCCTTCTGCCTCAACCTCCCCAGTAGGTAGGACTACAGGCGTGAACCACCATGCTGGGCTAACTTTTCAATTTTTTTGTAGAGACAGGGTCTCGCTCTTGCTCAGGCTGGTCTGAAACTCCTGCCATCAAGTGATTCTCCCACCTTGGCCTCCCAGAGTGCTAGGATTATAGGTGTGAGCCACTGTGCCTGACCTACTTTCTTAATTTAAAATTGTTTTTTTTGGCAGAGATAAGAGTCTCACTGTGTTGCCTAGGCTGGTCTCAAACCTGTGGCCTCAAGTGATCCTCCCACCTCAGCCTCCCAAAGTGCTGGGATTACAGGCATGAGCCACTGTGCCCAGCCTTATATATGCTTTTGAGTAGTACGAAAACAGGGGTAAGGGTAGGAAAAAGTTATGTTGATTATGCTAATCTGAGTGCTGTGTGCTTCATCTATGAAGTAGTTAGTCATTATTGCAATTTGAGGGAGACAGTGGTAAATAGTTCTTTTGGAAATGGGTTCCATGAATGAAACAATTATGCTAGGATCTCTTATTGGTGAGGAAATTGAGAAACAATGCCTCGCTCTGTGGCTGTATTCTCCTCTCCCTCAGTACCCACCATCCCTCCATCTGCCCCCATCTAACTTGGCAAGACAAATGGAGAGGAACATAAAACCTTAGATATATTTCTTTTGTATACATACTGTTCGTTTTACTGGTTTCTGTTTTGTTTTGGTTTTTTATAAAACCATTGCTTCAGTATGCTTCTTACCAGTATTATCATCTGTGGCTTCCAACAGATGAAACCAACTCAAAGTCATCTGGTCACCTTAGCAAAAAGGTAATAAGGTGAAGTGTTGGCCTGGGAATCATCAGATCTGGGCTCTTGTGGCTTTTCAGCTGCCTTTGATGTTAGGTACATCATTTAACATCTGTGAGCTTCAGTATTCAACCTACTTTTAATGAGTCACATCTTGGACGCTTAAAAATTTTAAATTTATTCTCCTCCCTCATTTTTTTTTTTTTTTTGAGACAGAGTCTCACTCTGTTGCCCCGGGCAGAGTACCATGGCGTTAGCCTAGCTCACAGCAACCTCATACTCCTGGGCTCAAGTGATCCTACTTCCTCAGCCTCCCTAGTAGCTGGGATTACAGGCATGCGCCACCATGCCCAGCTAATTTTTTCTATATATTTTTAGTTGTCCAGATAATTTCTTTGTATTTTTAGTAGAGACGGGGTCTCACTCTTGCTCAGGCTGGTCTCGAACTCCTGAGCTCAAACAATCCACCCGCCTCGGCCTCCCAGAGTGCTAGGATTACAGGCGTGAGCCACCACTCCCGGCCCTGCTCCCTCATTTTGAAAAGGATTGTGTGACATGTCCTGTCCACTCACTGTCTCTGGAAGGCAGATAAGTAAATGATTTAATGGAGTGGGGTGTTTCAGGTCTTTGATCAGTGCCTCCTGAAAGGTGTGACAGCCCTAGGCACTTTACCCTGTCTTTTCTTTCTCTCCTGTGACAGCTTCTCTTACCTAGGAAGCCAAGGTCCTTCTTCTGTCTTTGCCTAGGAAGTAGCATTTTGCCTAGGAAGTAGTCATCAAGATCTACATTAAAAGGGAAGAGGAATTTTGGCATCTAGGAATTGGAAGAAATAGTAGAAACTCTAGAAAAATGCCTTTTTCAAATTGTGATCTTTTAGCCTGGAGAAGAGAAATGACTTTCCAAGAGTCACATGGTAGAGTTAAGCCTAGATTCCAGGCTCTTTCTGCTATGTGCATCAGTCAGGCTAGGTGTGTTCCAGGTGTGTAAGAGAGGATTAGGTGTCATGGAAAGAGCTAAGGTGCCTTAGACGTTTGTGCTGGTTTTACTGCTGCAAGTCCATGTGATGGTGGGCAGAGGAAACTGCACCCCAGACCTCTTAAGGTGTCGTATCAGATGAACTCAGGACCTTTAGATATCTAATAGATATTTACTGGCTGTAACTGTCTATGGCAAGACATAAGATATGACAGGTTTCCCCAGTCAGCCTGTGGCTGACCTTTTATATATCAGTAGTGGCAAAATGAACAAAAAAGAGAACTACATATTATTCTGGCACTGGGACTAATTGGCTGTTGTCTTGTTTCCAGACAGATTATATTAATTTAATTTGTTTATTTGACTGATTAAAAATGATGACTCATTTGAGTATGTATGTATTTAATTACTAGTGAGTCTAAACTTTTTTCCTCTGTTTATTGGCTATTTGTATTTTCTCTCATTTGTGAGCTGCCTATTTATGTTCTTGTCTAGATCCCAGTGCATTCCTAGTCCTATGCTAGACTTCCCTGCAGGGAACTATTAGGATGATAAAGCATTGTCTCTGTATGGGAAAGCTCAGCATATTCTTGGGGAGACAATTTAAGGCCAGATGAAACATTTCCCTCACAGTATGTGTAGCTGGTTCAGTGCCTATGTGAGGAATCAGATGCTAGGCTCTAAGGGCTGTGACAGGTGGGTGATAGAGGCTGGGTGGCAGCTCTAAGTAATGTCTCTTGCTTTTCTTATACAGAGTTTTGCCGGATTGATAAGCCCCTGTGTCACAGTGAGGATGAGAAGCTCAGCTTTGAGGCAGTCCGCAACATCCACAAGCTGATGGATGATGATGCCAATGGTGATGTGGATGTGGAAGAAAGTGATGAGGTGAGCTCTCTCATCCTGCCATGATTCTCCTCTCTTCCTGTGTCATAGTCCCTGTAAGCTGCCTAGACACACTGTTAACTGGGGAGAAATATTCTCTGCTGGAGGTCAGGCGCAGTGGCTCACACCTGTAATCCTAGCACTCTGAGAGGCTGAGGCAGGAGGATCACTTGAGCTCAGGACTCCAAGACCAGCCTGAGCAAGAGTGAGACCCTGTCTCTACTAAAAATAGAAAAAGTGGCCAGGCACAGTGGAGGGTGCCTGTAGTCCCAGCTACTTGGGAGGCTGAGGCAGGAGGATCGATTGAGCCTAGGAGTTTGAGGTTGCAGTGAGCTATGATGGCACCACTGCACTCTAGCCAGGGTGACAGAGTGAGACTGTGTCTCAAAAAAAAAAATTGTCTGCTGGCTTGTTCTCTAGGAATTCATCCCCTTCAGGGGAGGTGGCTGTCAGCAGAGCAGCCTCGAGGAGCCAGCCTGTCAGAGTGCAGGCTTTATGCCTGTGTCACTGTCAGAGTGCAGGCTTTATGCCTGTGTCTGGGTCTGAGCTGGCTCCCACTTGTAGCTAGTAGCATAGCACTGACTGAGCTGTGTTGTTTGGGAGGGAGAGGGAATCCCTGAGGTTGTTCTCTATGGTTTCCCTGGATCTTTACTGTAATCCTGCTGTAGATGGAGGGCATCAATCTGTATTTAGCCCTGTCTTGGCATATGGGAGGGAAGGCAAGACAGTTAGATCCTGCCCTCTGGGAGTTTATACTCTAGTTGGGAGGAAGAAAAAATCTTCCTAGAAAGATCATTCTGAATTCCAGGCTGCAGTTTTTGGGAGCCAGTTGAGTGATCCAGATGGTAAGAGCTAGGGGAGTCTCTAAATGGAAAAAAGCTCTGTTACTGTTTCATCTTTTGCCATTACTACTATAGCTGCAACTCAACAGAGCCCAGAGTACAAGGTCATCATTTGTGAAAAGCTTTAAAAGCTTCTGATAGCAAGCTCAACATGAACCAGCAGCTTGATGAAGCTACCAAGTTATGCTAAATCTTCAGTAGTGATATAGTTACATCATGAAGGAGGAGATAAGCCTAGTCTCTCCTTCCTGCTAGTTAGCCAACCTTGAGTTGTGAGTTCAATTTTGGATCTCACGTTGTCAGAAAGATTTGGAACAGTGAGGACCTATACAGAAAGGAGTGACATGAATGATGAAGAGTATGGAAGCTATGAAACGAAGAGCATTCAACACAAGGCAATAACATTTATTAAGGGTCAATTGTGTATGTGCCATGCACTGTGTTAGGTATGGAAATGGGGCAGTAAGAAAGACAGGTACAGTCTGTCCTCATATAACTTACAGTCTAGTGAAGAAATGCTAGTCTGGAGAAGAGGAGACTCAGGTTATATACTTTTCATCTTCAAATACCTAAGAAGTGGAGAAATCAGACTTAAATAACGATGATAGTAACAATGAAAATCACAGTACTAGCTGTCATTTATTGAACTCTTACTCTCTGTCAGACACAGTGTTAAGCTCTTTGCATAGTTGCTTTAAAAGACTTTAACAGCCTTGTAAAGTTGGTATTATTACCAGGGACTGGAGTCTTGGAAAGGTTAAGCATTTTGTTCAAGGACACACTGGATATGAGCTCAGATCTGATTTCAAAGTCCATCCTCTTAAGTACTGCTGTATTGTTTCCCTTATTCTAAGGGCAGACCCAGGGCCAATGTGGGAAAAGTAAAAAATAGGCATATTCTTCTAGAATAAAGAATTGACTAACAGTCAGAGCTATCTTGTCATAGAATAGGTTCCTTGGCAGATAATTGAACTCTCTATCACTGAAGATGGACAAGTAGAATACAGAACTCCACTGACTGCTCAGCAGAGGGGATTCTTCTGTTAGGATGAACCAGATAATGGTCAAGGAATTTAAAGGAGGAGAAAAACAGACTTCCTAGAGGAAAAGTAGAATTGAATAGTTTAGAACGGGTAGGGCTGTCTGAATAGTGGAGGACCAGCATGAGCAAAGCTGTACAGGTAGTAAGAAGCATGGTGGGTTGGTTTGGTTCAACAGAGGGACTGTAGTAGAAAACCATAGAACAAAATGTTGGAAAGGAAAGTGGAGCCCAGGTAACAAGGCTGAGATATGTGTGTACTAGTTGAACCAGGCAATTATAGGTTCTTAAGCAAGGACAACAACCATGATGAAAGTATCTGAAATTTTGGTCACATCTAGATGTGTCACTGGCTTTCAAAGGACCAAAATTTTATTTGTCTATGCTGAGAATAGAGCCACGTTCCTAGTGGTGAATCAGGCCTATAAGTGTCCTGATAACTGTCCTAGGGCTTGGCCACAAAACTGGAGAATGGATGGAGAAGAATGATATAATCCCAGATCTATAAATTCCTGGATATCTTTGTTATCAGCTCCTCCTCCTTTTTTTCACATTCTCCTGAATTGCTTCGTTAATGAGGGGAGGAATAAAATGTTCTTTTTAGAGGAATGTTACTACAACAAAAAGCTCATCAGCACAAACTGTTCCAAAATAACACAAAAGCTGTCACCCTACTCTTCCTTGCGCCAGCGGTGAGCTGTTTTTTTTCAGCATAGCTTTTGCCTTGCCTTGGTTTCCACTGCTTTCCTTGCATTCCCAGGCCTCTGGTGGTTAGAGAGGTCTGATGGTCTGGGTGTTCATCATCAATCACACGCTGCTGTCCTTGAGAGAGAAAGTAGCAAAATGTATGTACTTAAGTCAGTGTAAACATACATGAGACAGCCTTGGAGTTCAGGATCTAGCTAGAAAGTTGGGTAGATAGCTCAGGGCTTAGAATATTGGGTAATGGATAATGAGGTACCAAGGATGAAACTCTGATTGTATTGGCCATCAAGGACTTGAGACTTTTAGGACCCGTCTTGCTGATTACTCAAGAACCTTAGTAGAAGTCTGAAGGGGATCTCAATTAAAGCCTTTTATTTAGCCTCATATTGGTAACTTTTTCACATAACTGAACTGAACCTCAGTGCTAGATCTTTTAAAATTTTTGTCATTTTTGAAGCAAGTCTTCTTATAGATTATTGTGGCAAGTGTTAACTTTCTTTGTATGAATCAAAGCATGTGTGCAGAGCCTCTTGCACTATTACCCAGTACCTGGATTCCCATATGCATTGTGGTTGCTTCCTGTAGTTTTCCTGTCTCTTCTTTGATTCATTCTCATTTCTAATTGCTGTATCTAATCTGCTGTGAGCTGTTAAATTAGACTTATGATTAACAGAGACTCAGTAGACATTGTATAGAAAAATATATGATCATTTGTGTGTGGGGCAACTTGTCTGGTTGCTCAAGTGCCATCTTTGCTTGTTTTTGTTATGGATGGCAGAGGCTATGTATCGTGGACCCTTCAGATGAGCAAGATGGCACAATTGGTGATGGTGCCCTGCTTGCAATACTGGCAGGGAGTTCTACTAGGCTGGCGGTATGAGACTTCAGGACTTGTGTTCTATTCAAACGTCCGGTGGGGATATTGCCCACGGGCAAAGATTTGACGTGGTGGATGGTTCTGTCAGGGCGTCCTAACTATCTGAGGTGGACAGACAAGGGCCTACCTAAAACCACTGTCCCTTGACTGGACTAGACATTTTGAGAGCAGTGTTATTTTCTTTTTTGGAGCCTACATAGAAAATCAGGGCATTCATTCGGCCATTAAATAAATTCTTACTGAATACTTAGGTGCTAGGCACCATTCGAGGGCTAGCGATTCCACAGTGAACAAAACGGATAAGATCCCTGCTTCTATGGAGCTTACCTTTTAGTGATCTATATGACACAGGTGATTAAGTGATAAGAAAAATTTGAAATTAGACAGAACTGTGATCAGATTATAGTAGTTTAGTGACTTTCTCTTTGGTTTTTCTCAGGGTAAAATGGTGGTTAATGATTCCTACCCTTGCGGGGTTGTAGTCAGAATGAAGTGAGAAAAGTGCTGTTAAAAGTTCTCAGCACAGGCCGGGCGCAGTGGCTCGTGCCTGTAATCCTAGCTCTCTGGGAGGCCGAGGCGGGCGGATTGTTTGAGCTCAGGAGTTCGAAACCAGCCTGAGCAAGAGCGAGACCCCGTCTCTACTAAAAATAGAAAGAAATTAATTGGACAACTAAAAATATATATAGAAAAAATTAGCCGGGCATGATGGCGCATGCCTGTAGTCCCAGCTATTCAGGAGGCTGAGGCAGGAGGATCGCTTGAGCCCAGGAGTTTGAGGTTGCCATGAGCTAGGCTGATGCCACGGCCCTCTAGCTGGGGCAACACAGTGAGACTCTGTCTCAAAAAAAAAAAAAAAAAAAGTTCTCAGCACAAATAGAGAACTGATAACATTCGACAATAGAAACCAAGCAACTTGATAAAAATGGGAATAGTTTTGAACAGAGACTTCACCAAAGTAGATACATAGATGGCAAATAAACATATGAAAAGATGTTCAATATTTTAACTGTTAGGGAAATGCAAATTAAAACCACAGCGAGGTACTACTACATACCTATTAGAATGGCTAAAATTAAAAAATGAATAATATAAAGTGCTAAGCAAGAGGAAGAGCCACTAGAACTCTTGCTGATGAAAATGTACGATAATACAGCAGTCTGAAAATGTTTGGCAGTTTCTTATGAAGTTAAACATAGCTTACTATACTTCCCAGAAATTCCACTTCTAGGTTTTTATTCCTACAGATAAATGAAAATTTATATTCGCTCTAAAACCTGTATATGAATATTTATAGTAGCTTTATTCATAATTGCCAAAAACCGAACATAACCCAAATGTCCTTCAATGTGTGAATGGATAAACAAACTGGAAAACTAGTCAGCAATAAAAAGGCATGAACTATTGATACACATAGCATAGGTGAATCTCAAAAGCATTATGCTGAGTGAAAGAAACCAGTCTCAAAAAATTATATATCATATGATTCCATTTATGTGACATTCCGAGAAAGGCAAAACTATAGCGATGGAGACTAGGTCAG